ATTTCCACGGAAAATGACTAAACCAAAAGTTGTAGGGGTCGTAAAGTATTATCTTTACGGGCGTGCCAATTATCATTTTCGGGAAAGGAAGACCCAACACCTGACCCGTTGTCGGCGTAAGAAATGTTGAATTAGGGACGAAAAAGCTACCCTGAGTGGGTTAGCGACTACACCCACCAGACGCCTTACGCCTAACCTAAACCTAACCTAACCCTAACCCTAACCTGCAAGGTTAAGTTCAAGGTCACTACAAGATAATACTTTACGATCCCTACAACTTTTGTTTTAGTCATTTTCCGTGGAAATGCGTTTTTATCGAGATAATAGAGGGGTCCCACACTTTTAGAATACCGTGTATATCTCGAGAACGGTTTATTTGCCAGTTCTGAAAATGGTCTCATTCGATTTCTCGTCCCTCAATTACTATAAATCCGAAATTTGGTTGTCCTGGGGTGGGGGGGCCTTTCGGAAGTATACCCGCGATCACATACTAATGCGTACGTTGTCACGGACACGCACGGATGGCCAGAATTCAATGTGTTAGTTTCAACAGTTTTTCGAAAATATCTCGAGTTTCGAAAACTAAGGCCGAGCGGCGGTTATATGTATAGGAAAAAGTTGTTCAAAATGCCTAATTTTACAACATATTTAAATTTCATCAAAATCGGTGAGGTGTAACCTAATCTCAATAATTACCTTTAATTTTAAGCTCACCCGTTATATGAATCGTAGTCGGGCTGTTGACAGAAACAGTAGAGAAGCGAGGATTGCTTGCCGACACACACAGCCGCGAACGTATACGTGCAGGCGAAATTCAATGCAATAGTACTCATAGTTTTTCGCGAATATCTTGCATACTAATCGAGTCCGACATATAGCTTATTGTTAAAGGAAAGAAGTTGCTTAAAATATCGAATTTTACAACATATTTAAAAATCATCAAAATCGGAGGGGGAGTAGCTCATTTACAAGTTCACCGCAATTTGTTATTGTTAATAACTATTGTTATAACAAAAACCCTATTCCTTGGTGTTACTTTGCACCGATGTACCGATTGCGATGAAAACATTCACATTTAATAGGAGATATTTCCGCGATGATCCCGCATGCAAAAATTTATGGAACTTGTTATCGTTAATAACTATCGCTATTGCAATTAAACAGTAAGAACGGTAAACCACCTTACGGCACCCTACAAATACTGCTCGTTCCACTAAAATGTGTGAAATAAAATAATTTTTAACAAAAAATACAACCGACTACGAAATGCACTAAAAACTGTAAAATAACTTATACTTCATTTCTACAACAAAATGCACTAAAAAGTATGAAATAATTTCTATTTCATTTATACAAATACACAACAGCTATTAATAAAAGTTATTTACTCGTTAAATAGTATACTAAATACATTTCAACCTTTTCGGAGGCGGCGCAAAATTTAAAATACTTCCTAGTAGAAGAAAAGTCTTTAATTTTGCGTCGTTTCTGAAAAGGTTGATATGTATTTAGTATACTATTTAACGAGTAAATAGCTTTTATTAATAGCTGTTGGGTATTTGTATAAATGAAATAGAAATTATTTCATTAAGAAATAGAAATTGTTTCATACAGTTTAGTGCATTTTGTTGTAGAAATGAAGTATAAGTTATTTTACACTTTTTAGCGCAATTTTGAAGTCGGTTGTATTTTTTGTTAAAAATTATCTTATTTTACACTTTTTAGTGGAACAAGCAGTACTTGTAGGATGCCGTAAGGAGGTTTACCTTTCTTATTGGTTAATTGCAATAACGATAGTTATTAATGATAACAAGTTCCATACATTTTTGCAAGTGGGATCATCACAGAAATATCTCCTGTAAGATGTGAAAGGCTTCATCGCGATCGCTGCATTCCGTGCAAAGTAACACCAAGAAATAGGGTTTTTGCTATAACAATAACAATGAGCTAATTAAAACCGTCGCCACGCGGACCGGGGTAGCACTCTACAGCGCGACCGGCGCACAGTGGGACAAAACGGCTTTCGGCGATAAAAAATCTGTAACTTCTGTTCTATTGGGAATATTTTAATAAAATTTTGGGAAATTTTTGCTTATATATGGTACTTAAGTTGTACCAATATAAATCATATTGAACTACAGGGTGTCAAAATATTCACGTATAAAGTGCAACGCGTTCAATATCCTTCACTTGTTAGACATATTTTGTCATTTAACAAAAATTTGACTCAAAACTGTTAATAACTATAAGAGAAACGGATTTAATAATTAAAAAATGACAAGACATGTGTTATTATAATATATTTATTTATATTTATTATGATCTATACCAAATCATTCGTGAAAATAGTTTCTACAATTATGAAAATCTATTATGGCATATTGCTAGGACGAAATAAAGTTTTGGATGACGAATATACACGTGGAATGCAGTTAATTGGTTAATAATCGTATCTGGTAGTGTTTTTCTATCATCGTGCGCAGCGGCCAACATGGGTGTAATTTCATTCAATCGCCATTTTCTTGAAAAAGTGCAAAAACGTGCACCCAATTTTTTTAGTTTCTGATAGAGGAAGGTTCACTCTTTTCTGTAGTAATAATTAAACATTCGGCAAATTCGGCATTTTTAAAAAATGAAACACAAATTCGAAATCCTAGTTAAATGTACTTCGTTTCAATCAGATCCTATTATTTAAAAAGTTGTTAACATTTTAACTTACTTTATGCACTGAATAGAATCTATACTAATCAAGTAAACTTTATAATTCATTTGAATTTTATCTTTCCGAGTAAAATTCATTAGAATCGTACTTTGAAGTTACGGGTAATATCATCAGCGTTTCGTTCTGACGAATTTGTACTGACTTTGAGTGCGGACCACGGCAAAACGGAAGCAAATATGAAAAAACGGATTACACTACGTTAAACTACAGTTTATTCTCTATCGATGTACGCAAATAGTTTTTCAATTCTCGAATTCACGAAAATCGACTCTTGATCGCCGAAAGCCGATTTGTCCCACTGTGCGTTGTACCGATCCCTGATGCCGAAACCGTCACGTCTCTTCCAAATCCTAACCCGGAACCCCAGAGCGCCAAATATTCCCAATTATCGTTGTATGCTCACGAATCTTTTTGATCGTCAGCGATCTTGCAAACAGCCTTCTAGCCACAGTACGAGCTAGCTGATTTTTGTCCGATTCTTACATCTCCCGGGCAGCTTGGGCTCTCGGTGCTATGGTAAGGATCACCACTCCCGGGTAGTTTTATACTCCCGGTGTCACGGTGATATTTGCCACTCCCGAGCAGTTTTGTATTCTCGGTGATACGGCAAATGTACGGCCACAAGTTTCTCTGTGCACGTAAAGGCTTCTAGGCATGACCGAACCCATGCACTACTGACTTATCGTTAGATTTAGTGCTTTCGAAAGGCCCTTTTAAGCCGAGTATCCACCTGTATCAAACGTCCGTATCGTATCACCGTTCCGAACCCTTTCGAATAGGCAGACGTTGCCTCGTTGCATGCCACGGCTTGCTACGGCTCGGACAATATTTCTTCGTTTCTTGATAGAAACGGTTCGGCAATAGGACTGGGCCACTACAGGCGAAGAGTTTCGTTTTGCTGCGTGCCGTTGATTCTTTGTCGATTCTTTGCCGTTGCATCGAAGGAAAGGTTTATACATTTGCACTTGACATAGCGTTTCGTACCGTCACTTGGGTTTCAATTTATTTGAAATCTTGCGGTATTATTGGATTCATTTCAAAATCGATGAAATTATTTATGAACTTAATCTAATTTAATTTAGACAAATTTTATCGTCTAAATATATTTAAACAGATCAATTATCTGCGGTGATACGCTGTACATAAAAGAGCAATGTTAATAAGAACCTCTGTGATTATTGAAAAAGGACAATGTTAATTATCCAGAGATTTTTCCGTTGCCGAATATCGAAAGTTCTATTGGGCTGTGATACGGAGGTGAAGGAACGGGCCGATCCGAAAATTGTCGGTTTCTTGCTGTTCAAAGGATAGGTTCGGAGACCACTTGAAACGTAAAAACAACATACCCAGGCGAAGGCCCGAAATGCTATGTCAAGTGGAAACATGACACTTGAGGCTCGAGATAATATGATCTGGAATCGGATATATCAGTGAGATAATACTAATGCAATGACTGAACTTTGTTATTTTTCATTTTTTTCTTATAAAACTTTTACCAAGATATTTGTGACGTTTTTCTGATTAAAATGATACCAAGCACGATATGGTTAGGACAATTACAATAAAGAAACAGCATGCAGGAAATCGAAACTTCTCGCCTATAGGAGTTTCTTTCAAGAAACGAAGAAATATTGTCCGAGCCGTAGCACGCCGTGGCATGCAACGAGGCAACGTCTGCCTATTCAAAAGGGTTCGGAACGGTGATATGATACGGGCGTTTGATACAGGTGGAATGGCTATTAACTATGTTTAGATAATTAAATATTTCTCTCTGGTTTACCATAGACGTACATTTATTCATGAAATTCTATCCTTAACAGTTACTTTAATTATGTTAATTTGATAATCTTATTATTTTCATTGTTTTAAATTGTACAATCATTTATCAAATGAAACATCGTACATAATAGCTGTAAGATATTTATAAACGGGCTTATACTTCCAAATAATTAAAAATAAAGATAAGATTGAATTTTATTTATTAGAAAGATAACATTTTTATAATTCTATAAGATTAAAGCTAAAAAATTATTATAGAATGATAATTGATAATTAATTTCTATGTTTTTGACATCTGGAATTCTTCAAAACCCTGAATTTTATTAAGAAATTAAGTTGATTGTATAAACACATTATACTAGGTAAATAAAAGTAACTTTTATGGTAAAATTTGTTTGTATACCTGGAATTAATTTTTATAAACGTACAGAAATGACAATATATCATAATAATAATTGTAATTTAATTATTATAAAATAGTTTTTTGTGTATCGAAGTAAGTTTGTACATTACCAGAATACTTGCTCATCCTATGTGTAATATTAATTAAATATTACAATAAATATAAGTATACACATTACAATTATAATGATACAGATATTGTTCTAAAATGCAATTAAATGATTAATCGGTCGCATTGATAGCATTATCCGTTCCAATCAAAAACAACATGAGCGATCATTAAGTACATAGTTATTGTAGCAGCACTTGTCAGCATAATCGGAAAACCCACCCTGAAATGATAATTATTTATTACATCAATGAAATTATTATATCACTAGGAATGAATGAATGGACTCCTGTCAAAAGGAGCTTAATTATTCGTGATTAATCTGATGTATTCGTTTTAAAATTGAAGTTTCTCATTTAAAGTTAGAATTGTGAATATTAACATCCTTTGTGAGAAATATTTTTTATTTTTTATTCAAATACTTATACTAATCATGATGAGGTTATAATATAAACATTCGCGTAACTAAATATGTCAGTGTACATAGTGGCCGTGGAAAGGGAGAGGGGTGGTGGTGGTGATGATGGTCTGTTCAAAAATGTGGACTGGCTTCTTCTCCATTTGAAAATTTTAAGATTCTAACTTTTAAAGTTCCAAAATTTTAAAGAATTAAGGTGGAATTTTCATCAGTATTAAACACTTGATATTGTTAGTAAAGCTAAGGGATCAGCTCACTCCAGAGAAAAGCCCCAGTTACGCGAATGAATATAAAGGGTATCTTTAAACAGTAAGAAATGTAATAAAGCCATAAAAGAATTTTTTAATATACATGCATTTAAGAGCTGAAACTCACTTAAAGAATTGCATAAAAGTGAATTTATATCCATGTTGCTCAGCAACACCTACACAAACTACGTTGGCAGTAGCTCCAATCAAAGTTCCATTTCCTGCAAATATATTTATCCATTCAAACGCATAAATAACGCAAAAATTAGTTTCCATTGAATCTTTATGTAATTCAATATGTTTTCATCGTATAAATGTCAAGTGATTGTTACCATATTCATTGTCGTTATTAAGAATAATGAAAGAATTTAGGAACTTTCTTACCTCCCATACAACCACCAAATGCTAAAGCCCACACTAATGGTTGCAATGGTAATCTAAGTTCTCGATTTTGTGCCAGATTAATTACAATTCTTATCATCATCGTTGACAAAGGTACATTATCCACAAATGCACTAGCAAAAGTCGATACCCAAAGTAATAGTAATATAGCCACCGCTAATCTTGATTCTTCGTTTACCGACAAAATAATTCTTTCCGTTTGTTTTCCTATCCACGCGATGAGACCTAGCCGCGAAAGAGCCTAAAACGAGTATATTATTTTAATGAAGATTATTTTTTTGATTTATTTCAAATTACCCGCCTTCTGTTATAATATTCGTCTTCTTACATTGTTATTTATAGCATTTCTAAAGTAGTTTTATACCTCCATAAGGACGAATAACGACGCGAAAAATAATAAAGTACTCCATTCCACACGTGCCATAAGACCATCTAAATCTTCGCTGTCCGCTAAAATTAATAATAAAAGGACACCAACTAAAGCCGTCAATCCCAGTGATAAATGCAGATTCGGGACACTGTGTAAAAAGAACAGCGTAATCACGAAGATTAACGCGAACCCAGACTTTACTAGTAACCATTTATCGCGAATAGGATACTGTAAGAAAAAAAGAAAAAAATGTTTAGATTTCGTTTATTCTTAATAATCACTCGCAATTCTTAATATTTTTATGATTGCACATGTTACAGAATTTGTAAGTGTTTTAATTACATATCCTTTTTCCTATTTAAAGTAAAACAATAAATAACTTTATATTTTACAGCTGTTAATTCTGTACATCTCAAAATTACCAGTTTGCAGTACTGCAATAATGAAATAAAATTAACAAAAAGTTGATGATGTAATTTATTTGTATTTAATACAAATCATATTTTAAATCACATTAGCATTATTTAATGAAAAAAGGAAAAAAAAATGGTAATTATTGAGATTAGGTTACACCTCACCAATTTTGATGAAATTTAAATATATTGTAAAACTCAATACATATTTTGAACAACTTCTTCCTATAAATATAACCACCGCCTTAGTTTTCGAGATATTTTCGAAAAACTGTCAAAACTAACGCATTGAATTCAGCCCATCCGTGTGTGTCCGTATACATACGCATTATTATGGGATCGCCACTTTTCTACTGTTTCTGCAGGCAACAGCACGGCGACCGATGACCAATCCAGTAATGCTTCGAAATAAGCAAGTGACTCGGGACCGAACAGTTGCTTATTTCGAAGCAGGTTGCTATTCGGCTTGACTTTGTTCTCGAAACGGGACGATAGAGAACGCGAGAAACGAATGAGAGATCCGAGGTAGCGGCAAATCATAAAGTGATCGGCCGAGCAGCGATGTTATTTTTTTAACAAGGATAGAGTATAGCATGCCCTCTCATTCTCGCGCTATGCTTTATTTCGAAGCAAATACATATACCTTGTGTACTGTGCGTTGCAGCTAAGTTGCCGAGCACCCACAAACTGAACCAACAAAGGGGCAAGGGGACTGTGCGTTCGCTCCACCTAATCCCCTCCAGGGGCCCGTAACTTGAGAAGTGAGCGGCCAGATTGCATAGGCGTAAAATTTCCATATTCGCGGAAGATGCATTTAACTATATAAACATGCGATTTTTTCAGGATATTAATGGATTTTTTATAATACTCGTTCTTGACAACAGTTGTTATTATGCAAAATTTATGGAAATTACAATATGGAAAGTGTAAAAACTCTCCTGTTTTCTTAATAATGTAAACCCCGAATCTACCTCTACGCCAATGCATTCAACTCGCCGCTGGCTATTGCTTCATCTCATTCTGTTTCAATGTCTGTCCTTGGCGACGTTCGTCACGCGATAGATTTGTGGATGTAAGGGCCTCAGCCAATAAACATAATACGTGTGACTGGAGGCAGGTCAACGAATTTGATTGGACGGCAACTTAGCTGCAACGCACAGTACTTCTGTGTTCATGATTTCAACGTATTGTAGCTCTAATGGCAGTCGGGAATTTAATATAGCCTAATTAAGTATCCGTAACCCAATCTAATCTACCTAATCAGTGAATTAGGTTAGGTTAGGTTAGGCTAAAGTAATATTCTGGTCGCTTGACGGCGACCAGACACACAAACTGAGATTCAAAATCATTAAAGTTACAGAACATCGGTACGTTGCGACGGAAACGCGGACACATCCTCGGACAAATTTCTTCGTTAACGACCTTCCTCGACTATTTCGAAGAGTCCGATTCACGCGAGACATTCTTGTTGCAAACGCATCTAAGTGGTCTAAACGAGACATGGAAGAAGTTTGACGATATCCAGTTCGACATCGAAGAATTAGATTAATCCGAAGAAGCCTATGGCAGGTAGTAATGGTCCGTCACCTCGACCATCGACCACATCGGCACCTATGGCAATTAAATTGCCCGAAATGCCTCTGCCGACATTTGACGGTACCATAGACGGATGGACTTCGTTTTACGATATCTTGTCGTCGATGATCGACCGTAATGAAGATTTGACGCCGGTACAGAAATTACAGTACCTTAGATCGACCCTGACCGGCAGAGCTGCTACATGCATTCAAGCATTGAGCACTACCGATGCGAACTATAATGACGCCATCGATTTATTGCGACAAAAGTTCGATTGTCCCCGCCGTACCATTTTGGGACATTGCGATGCACTCCGCGACATCCCAAAACTTGTCAAGGATTCACTAGAAGCTTTGGGCGATTTGGTGGATACCATAAATCAACACCTTCGCGCATTGAGGAATTTGGGCGAAGACATAGCAGCATGGAACAGCCTTCTGTTATCAATTATCCTTTCCAAAATAAACTCAAATACCGTGTGGCACTGGGAACTCGCTCAAAAGGACAAGAAAAGGATCCCAGCCTACACTGACCTGCTCGAGTTTCTGGAAAGGCGGGCCAATTGTGCCCGGACATCGAGCACAAAGGCGACTCCGTCGTCCGAACGGGTTGAAGCAGGATCTTCGGGAAATTCGCGAACTTCGAATTCTCGATCATCACGAGGCCATGCGTTTCTCGCCTCAAAAACCCGTCATCACCCGTACGAGCAACGCAGGTCAAACGCGAGACCACAGGTACCAAAAGCATCTAAACGATGCCCTATTTGTGATCGCGAACATCCCATTTGGACCTGTGAGTGATTCGGCGGACTATCAATCCAGGAGAGACTTGCAGCCGTGGGAAAAACGACTTTGTGTCGAAACTGCTTTAGGGACGGTCACAGCGCCAACGCCTGTTTCAGCAGTACATGTTGAGTATGCCATCAAAAACACCATACCCTGCTTCATCAACCAGCAGGCACCGCGGAATTTACTACCCAAGGAGTAACAGAACCTCCTTCGTCGATCGAGACGCCGCGGCAATCGGAGTAAATGACAAGAAAACATTCAACACCTGCGCCTCGAGGAATACATTTGAAATCCTCGCCAAAAGGCTGGACATTTCTTAGGAAAGGGTCCAATTCCGATCGAAATCCAGGACACGATGACGATTACATCATCGCATACACCTACAACGACAACACAGTCAAAAACAACAGGTACATTCGGACATTGACCTTCAGGACAACACCAGCTGTATTTTCGTTCATTCTGGGTCAACCCTTTGTCCGTACGCACACCGAAGTATGAAGAATTTACAACTGGCAAACCCAACGTCTCGCCTACCTGCATCGACTGACCTACTGTTAGGCGCCAAAGAGACACTTTCGTTACGAAGTGTCAAACGAATAAACCTATTGCCACCCGGGGGTCCAGACTTAATCTCACGCAGACGAGATTAGAATGGGTTAGCGGGGGGAGCACCCCAGTTTCCAGACCCAGGCGAGACACTGCTTGTCAGGCCACCACGGCCAAAAGCAAACCCAGCAGTATCAACCTGCAACAGCGGACTACCTGGATATGGGATACTTGTCGGTACGACGAGACACCGACGCATCCTACAACCTGTCGAAGATCCGAGACACCGCACCTGTATTCGGAGATGAGCGCCAGGCTCAGGTACAAGCAGGTACCCAAGCCATCCCTTTGCGGCCAGACGACGAGACTGACCCAGCGACGACACTGGCTCATTGACGGCCGGAGTCAAGGGTGAATGGTCATCACTACCTGCGTCCGTTGCCGCCGATTCCAACTATCGTCGGTGAAGCATTATGAATGACTCACATGTAGCCAGGGTCGTGGAGTCTTAGCCATTCTACAACGTAGGAGTTCACCATTCCAGCTATTATTCATCAAAGAATGAAATACCGGCACCACAGCCATGTCTAAACCTACATTCGGACCACGGTTCCAACTGCATTGGCACAAACAGTGAATTACACGAACTGCATTTACTATTATGGTCAACCACTCACCAAAAAACAAGGTAATTACGTTCATCACAGAACATTTTATGAAATAGAATCTTGTTCCTCTACTCACACCTATTGTTTGAGGACTTAATAATTAGCCGTGTAATCGTCTATATTTCGTTTCAAACGCGTCATACGCATAGAACTAATTACGATCAAAATCATCAACACCTTCATATTCGGAATTTATTTATTTTAAATTCTCACCCGTTCATATCAATTACTCGGACCCGAATGACATTCCGGTTCTAACCCCGATCAATTCCTGATCGGTGATTCCCTAACAAATCTGTGTGAACGAAATTCCAGGAAAACTTTACCAAACCATCCACCCAGCTGGCACCACATCCAAAGGGTGCAGCATCACTGCTGGACTAGATAGCAGCGAGAACATCTCGCTGAGCTGACCTTTCACACCAACCAGTCGAAAGGAGATCATCCAAAACAGGACACAACCATCCTGCTTGGGGATTTTAACATCCCATCCTTCTACATTGGCCACTTGACAGAGTCGAGACGGTCCATCCAGACTCTGATGACATCGGTCAAGCTGTCCCAATCGCAGCTGACACGAATACGTCATCAGACCACAAACCAACTTATACCCCTACCCAAGCAGGCAGCTCAGGGTGATCAGAACGACTGATTCTGTACATCAGAAGCGTACATCATAACACGCACTCAAAACACACACATACATCAGATATGTAGAACTTTCTTTTTTTTTTCAACGTCTAGTCAATTCATAGTTTTCGTTAAATCTAGCCCTTCGGATTAACGTTATTGATTTAGTTTCTCAGTATAATTACTTGATCGGTGCCCTCTCAACGGGGGGAGAATGTTACGCGGCATAGTATACCGCTCGCGGATCTATAATAGCAGTATTATACTTTGAACAATCTTACGGGTTTAACTATCGAGAGCAATAAACTCATCATAAGATATTGTCCGTTTTGCCTTCTATGTACCTGGTAAAAATGGTAACAACGGTAAATTCACGAATCGATGAATTTACTACATCAATTTAGAAGCACGGTCAGTCTAATTGCTAGAAACCTATCTAAGCTGGTCGGATTAGTATTTTGTCACGTACCGAATCAATCACCATGAAGCTTCAAAAGGTCCAACAGTAAACAGACCTTCTACAGGACAAGGCCCGTAAAGTCAGAACGTTTATTTGGCATTCGCATTGTCCACAAATGTTCACGACGAGCAGTTTACAATCTTTTACGAGGTCTTGCCATTTACTTTACTTAAATTCTAACTTTCTCTTCCGTGTCTTAAACGGACCCCATGCCGTGCATGTGTCTTGTGAGTTCTATCAACCCCGACAGGGTTCGAACCGTCTTGCGCTCTGTCCCAGGCACCACTCTATCGTTTGTAAAACTCCCGAACCATTTAAGCCGCATACTCAGGTAGCACCGGTCACCAAGACCATCAGAGTCCTCAGTCGCTCGCATTTGGCACACAGCCTCTACCAGAGCCCTCAGTCGCTCGCATCTAGCACACAGCCTATACCTGAGCCATCAGTCGCTCCTGCCTAGGAGTTATCGCCGATTCTGTGCAAACACGCAACTTAAGACTCCCACATGCACCGCAGCTGCTGGGTTTTCGGCTAGCTTATATGGGAAATGTCTAGCGAGGTGATTTGCTAAACCGTTCAGCCTACGGCCATTAGTCAAACTCCAAACGTTTGCTAATTGGCCACTTTTCGTCAACACCTCCCTCGTTGGACTACCTCTCTGCGGCTCCTTGCTGACCGTTCGTAAGACCCAGGAGAGGGAGAATAAAAAACTTGGAACGAGACATCGAGACTCGAAGTCACTTACTGTTGATCCTCAGATCCTATCACTTCGTCAGCATTCTTAAAGTCATCTTTGACGATCTTATCGATATCTAACATACCTCTGAGGTATTAGTTCTCACAAACACATAAACACTTGTCCAACAACCTTCAGAAATATATTTACTTTTAACGACTTAGCTTAGTCTCAGTATAAAATTAGGGTATAGTTCAGAATAGCCCCGGCGGAGGGGGTGGTCCCCCTTTGGAGGGGGGAGAGGGGGGAGGGGGAAGACCCCAAATATCAAACGGTATCCACATCAGACCAGTAGTTTCGAAGATATTAATTAAAAACTTTCGCAGAATATGTAGAATTCTGCCTATACAGACATGACTAACACAACCATCCCCGCTGTAGAAATCGTGGTCGTCGAGTGTCAAGTAGCCGATGACACAGTAGGGGGTCTCGACCTGAGTATCTATAGGGTGTCTCATTCAGTTGTGATCATTGTACCATTGTATTTAAAGTAATTATTCTTGTGTTTTAGGCTTTGCCCCTCCCCCGGCATCCCCGCCACGGAGAATATAACCTAACCTAACCTACGGTTTGATATTCGTAGACGAACAAAGTGTTACCTTCTGTTCGTATATGTATAACTGGCAAATTCGCCTTACATATGCCTTACATTATTGGGTAAAATTCTGTGTAAAGTTGTTTGCGAATATTTCGACAGCTTGTTATTTCCATTAAAAACAAAAATCATATTCGTATTCAGCATATCAAAACGAGTAAAACGACGAGATTAATGTAAACCTGAACCACAGTTTACAAAATAATGCGCTTTATATATATACGACACACTGTAGATACCCAGATCGAGACCCCCTACTGTGCCATCGACTGCTTGACGCTTGACGACCACGGTTTCTACAGCGGGGATGGTTGTGTTAGTCATGTCTGTATAGGCAAAATTCTATGCATTCTGCGAAAGTTTTTCATTAATATCTCCGGAACTACTGGTCTGATGTGGATACCGTTTGATATTTGGGGTTTTCTCCCTCCCCCCTCTCCCCCCTCCAAAGCCCATGTCGATCGGCCACCGGGGCTATTCGGAACTACAGCCTAAAATTATTCTCCTTACAAAGGTAAAAGGTTGTAAGGAAGTACGCATCTTCCGGTGGTGGAATCCGCGTCACATAACGGCATCCTCTACCGCGAACGCGTAATAAACAAACATCGGCTTCGCGCTTTCATGGACCTCTCACTCATTTCTCGTACCTCTCACTTTGCGGGCGACTTCAAACAAAGAAGAGGGGATAGCGTGTTGCTTATTTCGAAGCAGAGACCAGTTGCTTATTTCGAAGCAATACTGTAGTTAAATTTGATTTTTAAGGGGGTAGACACGGGTAATGCAGCGAGGTGACATTACCGGCAAAAATGGGCCTATTAATGGGTTTACGGGAATTGGTTATTTGTCCTTGTATGAGAACACTTAGGGCTGGGTGAGGGGGCTCAACCGATCGTTTAACAAGATTGTGTTAATATCTAATAATATGAGTGTCCAAAGTAGAGGAAAAATCGAGAAAATACGCCCGCTGAATCCAAGTACATTTTAGGTAACTATAAGAGCTTTGTGACTAAAACGATTTGTTGAGCCCCCTTCATTGAACCTTCCTCTTTCGAATGAGCCCTTATTCAGCTCAAGATCTTCTCATTTAAGGACGAATAACCGATTCCCGTAAAAGCATTCCCAAAGACGAGTTTCCCCATTATCTGGATACTACAGAGCAAGTCACGTGACAAATTTAGTTCAGCTAGTAGTTATAAGGTGGCGTCTAAGTAGAAAGGCTGCCGATTTGGAATCGTAGTCAGAATCAAGCGTTAGCCTGATTACGTCACTCGAACTGTGCTGCGAAGGCAAGCGAAAAAGGCAACATCGCCCGAACGCTGAGTGAGACGCACTACAGTCATGCTGTCCTTCTCTCGTTCTGAATGTTGAGATTGTCCCTTTTCGCTAAGTTTTGACTGCGGCTCGCTTGGATTTTTCACAGCGTCCCATAACCTCGCCCCATTCAACTATATCGTGTTTGGTATCATTTTAATCAGAAAAATTTCACCAATGCGCTAGTAAAAGTTTCACTCTAAAAAAGTCAAAAATAAAAAAGTTTTTTGATTCAATTAGTATTAGTCACACCGATACGTTTCGGCTCTTTCCTTTGATTTCGGACCTCTCTCTTTCCACCACTGTCTGTCCCTTTCAACGTTCACGCTTGGCTGGTCGTCGCGTGTCATCCGAGCTTCGATACCGTGCTTAGGTAAACGCAACCACTGGGTCCCAATCTTGGTTGAATTTATCCAGGTTTTACTGTATTCAGCTTTTACTGTATATGTAGACGCGAGGTCCCTCCATTTATTAGTTCTAATAGTACCATAGTACTTTTTTATGCAGAATGTTTCAAGGAGTTGACACAAGTAAAAAAAAAATGCAATTCCATTTAAATAAAAAGTGGATTTGCATTTTTTGAGTGTATCGTTGCATTCACGGAGAAAATGAAATCACAGAAAAATAGACATTATCATACTATTGAACTTTTACATAAACAGCGTTTTCCTATCTCTTACCAAATTCAAGATATAACCCGTCAGAAATTGCATGGCGTATCCTGTATATTTTTATTAATTTAAAAACATTTATTTAAAGAAGTTAATAACTTTTTCTAAAAAATTTCTCAGATTGCACGTTCCTTCGGTTCTTTAGAGTAGGCATATATTTTTCAGCAGCGAGGGGTGCTACGGTGCGCTATATAAAATCCACGCGTTCAGTCAGTCAGAATTTATCGGAGCGGGACAATTCTATCATTTGGGTTGAAAGAAGGATAGCACGATCACCGTACATCTTACTCTAAACACGCGCCAATGTTTCGCTTTCGTTCTTCAGGCGTATCGTCGCGATGCCTCTGGCGAGATGAGCGTTTGAATGTGTTTGTAAAAATACTTGAGGCGCTGTTGCCTTCCTAGATCGTGTTGCGCGCACGCTAGCTGAGAATTAAACCTTTCAAATTCGTACCAGACCACGCAACTGGCTCCACCAGGCCCAACGAAAAAACTGCTGTAATACCGACGTCCCGAATCGGAGAGGTCACGTGCCGTGTCTACCCCCTTAAGCCCACCCGTAATATATGTATATGTATATATGTTGGTCGGTCGCCGTGTTGCTGCCTGCAAAAACAGTAGAAAAGTGGCGGTCGCACCTAACAGGCACGCATACGAACAGGCAGAATTTAATGTATCAGTTTCGACAGTTTTTCGAAAATATCTCGAAAACCAAGGCCGAGCGGCGGTTATATGTATAGGGAAAAGTTGTTCAAACTGTCTAATTTTACAACATGTTTAAATTTCACCAAAATTGGTGAGGTGTAACCTAATCTCAATAATTACCAAAAAAATTAAACATTATATACATATATACGATATACAGGTAATATTATAGTTACCTTTTCTTGAAGTTCCTCAAGTGTTGTTTTATATCTTTCAAGTGTTACACTACCCGTCACTATTTTCCTTTTTAATTGTGAAACTAATCGTTGAACTTTTTTCAATAAAGTTTCCCTCACTAAATTTTCATCTTTACTGTAACTGGATAAACTTGCCGCAGCTCTTTGCCAAATTGCAATTTCATGCCTTAATTCCTACAACAAAGATCAAAAAGTATCATTATTTGTGTACAATTTATTTCAACTGATATATTTTAGATTAAAATGCAGCGTCAGGTTAGTAATAAAACATATGTTGCTATCAATTGTTGGATTGTTTTATTTTTAACGGTTAATGTACAATAAAATGTAACTAATTCAATAGGAAATAGAGTAAAATCATTCATACCTGTACATCTGGCGGTTCATCGAATCTAAGAACATCCACATCTCGAAAGATAAATCGTAGCTGAACATAGGCTACGATTATAACTAATATAACACCAATGCTCATGTGCATCGTAAATGTACTAAAATCGATACCCTACAAAACAGAAAAAAAAACTTTTTTTAGCGAAAATCACTCAAGGTGATTGCGTTAATAACTGATATTATCTTGTATCTGACTAAGCATGGATGTTTCTACTACAGCAATCAATATGTTAAAAGGACTTTCCCAACAAATCACTGCAAAAATATAATAAGTGATTCTTATGTTTCTTTTCCTTATTTAAGAAAAACATACAACATAAAGTAAGAATAGTTTACATTACTATATATCATTTGAAAATATTAACAAAAATTTTGTCTCGCTGGTCTAATTTATAGGTGGTGCTCAATACCATAATTTGAGTTCCTAAAATATTATTATTAATTAAAAGCGAGAATGTGTTTCCGAAGGAAAGAAAAAAAATTATAAAAATCTCTTATTTTTTAAAGGGAGACAAGCGTATCATTTCAATTGATTTAATATTACGTATTATTGTGAAACAAGGATAATAAATACTTATTGTAAAGTTGTAAAATACTTACATTATTAATAACATCTCGATTAGAAGCAATAATTACGTTAGGTGGGTCACCTATCGGTGTCATAGCACCACCGATATTAGAATAAACCACCATTGCTGTCAATATTGGCACTGGATTTATTTCCATAACTTCGCATAATCTGATAGTTACCGGTGTCATTAAAAGTACCGTTGTAACATTATCTAGAAATGCTGAGATGAACGCTGTGAAAAAGCACAGTGTACCTATGAGCGGCCACAATTCTCCCCCAGTTATCTGCAAGCAATAGTCGTATGACATTGTACATTTATAAAAGTAATTACAATAACAAGTTATATACAATTTAATAATAAGAGTGATAAATAATCATATTTCAAACAATTATTACCTGAAGCTCTCATAAAACGCTTATCTATATTAGGTACAAAAAAAGTATAAGAGTAACAATTAGAGTATAGCAGGGGAGAGTGGGGACAAAAGTAACAAGGGAGCGAAAGTAACATTGAAAATAACTAAAAATCTTTTATAGCCATTATGCGCAAATGTTAGATATACAATGCAAAATTACAATTAAAATATACAACAACCATGTCCTAACAAATACACTGTTAGCTATTTATATATATACGTAGTGAACAAAATGTTTTTTCGGCACCCTAAAGTAACTTCTTTTACAAAATTGTAATCTAAGTATTTATTACGCAAGTAAATGCTTTTTCTTATGTTTGTGATTTGACTATTTTGAATGTAATACTGGTCTATGTATTTAACAATTTTAAGTGTCCCGTTAGTGAAATTTTGTAATGTAAATCCAAAAGGATGATCGAGGATTATTGTAACATCAGTAGTCGGAGTCGGTTGTAACGTTTCTAGCGACCAAGAAGATAAAGAACATTGTTTTCTTATTTATATGGAGCAAACCAAATGTAAAATAAATATAATATATTGAAGATGAGTATAAAGATTGGGCTCATAAAGGCAAAACGTTCCTTATATTTTCTACAATTGCGATACAGAATAATTGGCTACAAATTTCACCTTTTTTAAATTTATTATTATAATTTAAATCTATAAATATTTTAATTTTATAAAGATAGATTTGTGGTAGTTACGATACCGCCCAGTATTACAACCAACCAACCGTCAGGGTCGGTTGCTACATTTTCCCCGGTCTCCACTTTTTATTAATAGCTTGAATATTACTTGTTATACGGCGAAATTGCTATAATTCAATAATGTCGGATGACTATATAAGATTTTGGTGTGAACATTTTTGTTGCAAGTATAATAGCTTGTTATTGAAATTGTTATTTCTGTCTCCGTTCTCCTACATATTTTCACTTTTGATAAAACAATAGACCTCTTTATTGAAAAAAATGTCATGGTCTTCTGACATATGTACTGTGTAAATTTTTTCTGTAGTCTAATTTTAATATGCAAAGTTAGTATAACCATTAAAATTATATGTAAATTTTTTCACAAGTTCATAAAATCTTACCTTGTAAGCATAGACTGCCAACCAGTCAAATATTCCTGTTTCAGCAATAACGGCGACTAGTATCATCATAGCGAATAATAACATTAATGTATCAACGTCTATCCAAGATACCAATTCAACCATACTTGGTCTCTGAAAAAAACAAAAATATTTTGTCTCGAAATAAGTATTGAGTATCATAGTTTCATTTAGTTCTTCTGTTTGAAATACCTCATTTAAAGCTGCTAATATTGCGATAGACATAGTTGATGCTAACATGGCGGCTAAGGTTCTATGTACAATCTAGAATTATTTATTATAATATTTCAAATGGCTTAAAAGGATAAATCATGTTTGATATTAAAATAATCATATTGTATATAGATAATAAGATAAAAAGATAAAATGAAGTACCTCAAATACTATTAGCACATATAACCCAAATAAAACAATTGCAGCATACGCTATACCATCATCTTTATTTATTGATGATAAATCATACGAAATGGAAACAGCAAAACTGGAATCTAGGTTTGTTTTTAAATTAATAGAAGCTAAGCCTCCCTTTAACATCCTGTAAAACAACATATTTAGCATAAGTTAATATATTTAAGTTAATAAAACTTTATTAAATGTTTATAGTAAAAGCGACAAAAATAGTTACACCCCCTAATAATAAATTATACATGCAAGAAATTGTTTGAAGCAAGTTCTATTCCTTGTCATGATGATAATATATATCATATATACATACGAGAGAATAAGTATAAAAATTGTTTTCAACATACTCTTTATTAACATTTTGCAGCTCAAAAATATTATGGTATCTCTGTCCAGAGAAAAGATCCATCAGATTTTCAGGAAGTATTGGTAACATCCATACATTGCTTATATTCTGTATGTAAATAATAAATTTGTATTAGCAATAAAATACAAATTAGATGAGTTTCTTTCTTACTTTCCGCATTTAATAAGTATTATGCAATTTTTCTTTTATAGTCATTCAAATCTTTGGAAATCATCTTATGTTATTATATGTATTCAAAAGAAAGTGTGAAAATTTGATTTTTAAGCGCTAATATAATCAACATGACAGTAACATTAAATATACAGATTTAAAACATTACTTGCTATCGAGGTCAATGGTGAACTCATAATGAATAAATTCATTATAATTGAATATCTGAAGGAAAAAAAAGATCATGGAAGATTTCAGTATCATAAGTATTACACTCGTTATACAATGGAGTAAGTGAAAGGTTTAACTCTTTCGCTCTAAAAAGTGGAAATATGTATACGCACTCGAGGAGTGGATATTCACGTCCGAAGAATATTATTATACCTAGGTTTAAAATATAATATTTATAAAAATATATTGAAATACATTACTCTATTTACAAAAAATAATTCTATCTAAATACTACAATAAATTGCATTACGGAGTTTACCAATAGACTTGATTTTCTTATCTTATCAATAATTTCACATTACAATTTATAATAATGAAATCAATATTTGTTTTATAAATAACTTAACTAACCTTAATTTGTTTGGAGTGTACCGAAAAGAACTCATCCGTATTATTTGTCTCATTGACTAACAGTTCCAACCATACCATTAAATATCTGTCGGATACATTTGTATATTCTTTTGATTGTATCGGTGGAAGTAACGAGCCTTCTATTGTTACACTAATTTCTCTGCCAGAAATGTCACCGTGCATTTTGTAATCTGTAATTTCTTAAGGATGATTTAATATTTTCTATCATTTTTATATATAGCATTACCATTTTAAGAAAAGTAGCGAACTAAAGGTATTTTTTATTTAATTTTCAAACCGGATGAATTATAATAATGTTACAAGATTTTTATTTTATAACATTATTTTTCTAACATATGTTTTGTATATTAAACTCAAAATTAATATTGTAAACTCTGCATGTATTCCAATTATATTCATAATTTATTATAAATAAAAAAAGGATACTTTTTATTTCACCCTTTGGTACCGAGATTTGGTGCATTGCCTCTACTTTTTCACTTTTGATTATTAATATTAACTGCAAGTATGAAATTTTATTTGAGAAAATTAATTAGGCACAGCAAAAATTACAAGTGAATTCAAGTAAAATAGTATTCTAAATCTAAAAAACTTTTATTCAAATTCAAAATGTTATGGCGATTAACTGATAATGTTATCCTCTTAACATTTCTACTTCTTATGCATTTGTCCACAAAATAAATACTTTTTTTCATATTAATTTATTTAAAAATTTAAGCGAACATCTTCTAGTTAATAACTTCAGCTAAGAACTCATATATCAGACTTACAGTAAATATGAGCCAACAACAAGTCAATAAAATCAACTTTATATAACGATAAAAAGGATTTTGTTTAACTTCGTGAGGTTCTTGTGTAACGTCATGTCCATCTTCTTCTCTAGATCCCTTATTTCGTATCCTAATATCCATATGAAACATTAAATTAAAAAAACATGGTCAATTTTTAGAATAAGGGAGCCACCTTCGAATTCGATCACCTTGAAATATGTTGTCAATGTCGTCATTCTTTTAGTTTTCAAGATATTTGAGAAAATAACGCGCTTTACTGTCAATATTTCCAAGAGTGAATAAATCGCAACTAGGATTTCCTCTGTTGTTTTGGGGGGCGAAGCCCCTCAAATCCCTTTGGGACGGACTTTTTTAGGTACTTCGAAAACACGAATGTGGGGATTAATGAACGGAAATCGGAGGTAGCTCCTTTATTCTAAATATTTAACAAAAAATTTTCGATTTTTCTGAAAGATAAGATGCATTTTTCAAAATAATGGCAATTATGTATCCCTTGAATGAAAGTTTAAATGAATAAATGACTAATATGTGCTCCGTTTAGCATTTGACTGTATTAAGCTTATAACTACATATCGTTCATTAATCCCCACATGTTTTTGAAGTACAGTAAAACCTCGTTTATCCGAAGTAATGTGGGGAGGAGGTCCCTCGGATAAGCGAAAACTCGGATAACACGGAAGAATTTTTATGTATTTGATATGATAGAATGAAATTTAATCACAAAAGTATATAAAAGTGAAAATCTAACTACGCGTGTACAACATAGGCACAGCGGTTTCATCCGTTTTATCCGAGTTTTTCCGTATTATCCGAGCATACACCTCAATTAATGCGGAGTGCTCGGATCAGTCTGTTGTTTCGGATAACGCGGAGGCTCGGTTGATCGAAGGCCGCATAAACGAGGTTTTACTGTACTTAAAAAAGTCCGTCCCAAAGGGGTTTGGGGTTATTCTCGTCGTGGACGAAGCCCCCCAAAACAATAGAGGAGATCCTAGTTGCGATTTATTCACTCTTGGAAATATTGAAAGTAAAGCGCGTTATTTTCTCAAATATTTCGAAAACTAAATGAGTCCGACTATTATATGTATAGGAAAAGGTTGTTCAGAACGACGACCTTGACAACATATTTCAAGGCGATCGAAATCGGAGGTGGCTCCTTTATTCTAAATATTTACCGCATAAATATGTAATTAATATTACTTATTTATAGCTTACTGTTGTATCAAAAAATGCAAAGTATTATGTGTCGCACATTTTTGTCATATATATTTCTGTACATGTCGTGTTTATTTTTTTTTTACTAACAGACGGTTCAAAAAACAATTTTAGTGAAAACGACCTTTTGATTAGTGATAGTAACAATTAAACAACACTCTAAATTATTAATACTGTAATTTACTGTGTACACTTTAATAAGTATTGATTTAAAAGTATTACGATAATTTTATGCATTGAATTCTATACAAAATGCATAATGTATAAAATAAGAGTAAATAATATTACAGTTTACTTTTAATCTTGATACAAATGATAGAGAACATTAATGCTTAGATTTGCAGCTTTAATTGCAGGGCTGAAGTTCCGAAAAGCTCCCACATTATTGTTTATTCAAAAGTTATTAACAAAGAAAGATTGGAAACTGTACTGTAATTATCATATTTTGAACCTTTCGGCACAAAAAACGGAAATATTTTACTAATACTTGTTACATTTTGGCATATAAACATATTCAAATAATATAAATACCACATGCTTGTGTTCATAATGTAGTATACTGTCTAATGTTCACGTGCGAGGATTGTGAAAATGTGCGAAAGAATGAATTTGTTTTTATTGAGTGCAAAATTAAAAGATATAGCATCAACGTTACAGTGGCCGAGAGAATTAGAACTTATATCTAACTCGCGGTATTGCAAAATTCATAAAAAGGCAATGACATTAGATAAGTCTCGAGGTGTATGTGCAGAAAATATGAGCATGTTGTTTTTGTCAGTCATAATACATGATTTCAAAGATGCTACATATCACCTGCAAAATGTATCATTTTAACGTATTGTTTTGCTACTGGCATGTCTTTTATACAAGCTATTCGTGAAAGCAGTTGGCTTAATGAAGAAACGACATCAACTGAAACAGTAGCAAATAGATATTCCTTTTGCCGTGAAGTTTGTGTGATTTCATTAGACAAACAATATAATGACAAAGGTAATATGCTTTCAAATAACGCAACAATATCAGTGATTTTATTTCAATATGTTACCTCACTAGGTTATATTGGAGGGAACGGTTGTATTGCCGAAATTGACGAATGCAAAATTGACCAAAGAAAATACGAACGGGAACGAGTAATTGAGGGTTCATGGATTCTTGGTATGATAGTCCGTGAAGAATCTACAGCTTATCGTTTGGATATATGCCCCAACAATCAGCGAGATAAGTCCACTTTATTAAATTTAATAAAAATACATGTGGCTCCCAGTTCTGAGATTCATACCGATTGCTGGAAGGGATATGCAAACTTAAATGAACACGGATATATGTATACATAAAACCGTCAATCATTCAGTTGAATTTATAGACTCTGGTAGTGGAGCGTATACACAGACAATCGAATCATCGAGGCGAGTGATGAGAAGATCGTTAAATCGGAGTGGTATCAAAACGGAAAACTTGGCTGATCATTTGTCGAAATATACATATAAAATACATAAATTGGATCCTTTCCAGAAATTGATTGAGGATATTAAAGTCCCATAGAAATGGATATAACCTATTGAATGTTACTCAGGAGGGTGTCCTTGATAACATATGTCAAGGTCAAGAAAATCGGATGTTGGAGCTTTTCGGAAATTTATCCAATTGCAGTTTTGATATACATATAAAAAGAAAGTAACAATTTACAAGTAGAGAAAGAAACACATTTTTCCGAGGTAACCTACCTCTGTTGCAATGCAGTCTGTGTCCCAAGGGACATGTTCACTACTAAGCAGTCTTTCTTTACGACATCTGAAGACCTAAAAAAGAAAACAATTAGGTTAAAACTGAGACATTAAAAGAACCTAACGAAATTAAAGGAGTACTGAGAGTGCACGAGAATTCAAACAATCTTTAAATTATTAAAAAATTATTTTGAAAGTTTATAACCCTGGTATAAAGAAACGAAAAATAAAACCAACATTTATACATATACATGTTAAGAAAACAAATTGCACAAGTTACAGAATTGTAAAAATATTGGAAATGATTAATTATAGTAATCAAGGGGTGTATTGTGAGCAGTTTAACAATAATTTATACAAAGCTTTTTATTTATTTTCAGTCTTATCATAAAATATACCGAGGACTTGATTCAGCTTATCCATGTCCTCTTTAATAATAATGAAACTTCATCAATTGAGATTTATTTTTGTACCTATTATCGTATTATGCGTAATTTTAGAGAGATACAAACCGCCCTTCCTCAGTTTGATGAACTCGATCGTATTCTCTTTGAAAAACTGCTAAACTGGGATCCAAACGTATTGCTTCTGGTAGTTGACTCCAAACTCGAAGTACTTCTTCTGGGATTTGACCAAATATTACTGAACTTGCTATAGATGACGGAGTTACTGCAGTAAAATGAAGAAATCTTAATGTAAAAGGTTAAAGTGCAATACAAATGCAATACATATTTAATTATAGCTATAGCTATTTTTTTTGTAAATGATTCTAAAAGTAGGTAACATTGTAAATACAATATTAGATTAGTTTATGAAGTCAATAAAAAGGATCAATAAAAATAATATCTAATGATTTACGTGATGATTATTATGATTAAAAGGAAACAAAGATAAAACACAAAACAGACAAGAAAACCTAAAAATCAGTTATGGATATTTTCTAATAGATTATCAATTTAATTACCGTTGAAGCTCTTAGCAAACTATTTCTTTTCAAAATCTAAAATAGCAAACTTAGAACTGATAATCTGAAGATTATACCTAAATATATTGTAATGGAGATAAAAGCATCCAAGACGTCACTAACAATAAGAACATTTTAACAGTAAGTCTAATGATTCGAAGTGTTTCGTCTTATTTTGGTTTCACACATTTATTCTTTACATGTTTAGAAGTAATATGGTGTTTAAAAAAAATATTCTTCAAAATATTAAACTTGAAAAATTAATTTTTGGCTACATTTTTATGGTTTCTAGCCCATCGTGTACCACGGTATTACATATACGTTAATTTTGTGGTGGGGGCATTTGTTATGGTTCCGTTTTCCAGAAATTTCCTTCCTTACAGCCACGAGTGCAAAAAGTTATCAAAAGCAGAAAAAAACATACGAATAAGAGCGAAATGAATAACCAAAGTTTGTTTTATGTATAAATTGTATTATTTTATACATGTACCTGGTGTTCCACGGCTGCATCGAGATCCCTTTCTGAGAAACATTGGTGTCTGTAGTCCTGTTTCATCATCGCTGGATTCGCTTTGAGACATTTTGTATTGCTTAAATGAATAACAGTAGTGATATTAGGCAGTTAATTGTATTCCTTCTTAGTTAATCTAGGCCTCATGTTGAATAAATTAGGAAATTAAAATACATATAAAAGGATACGTTAATGTAACTCTATAGATTGGCGGTACAGGTTCAGCTTGTGTCAATATTCGAAAAATTTGTTGCGTTTTAAATAAATGTAAATATCAAGCTCTATAATTACCATTGCTTTTATTTTCAAGTTATAATTTCTAAATATGTATATCCTGAAGTGCGAAATTTCCACGTTCTTATTGTAAGAAAAACTATCAATATTTGTCAAGTCTAGTTTATGCAAACACATTTTGAAGATGATAAATACATACTATGTAATACAGTACATTCTTCGTAAGCGGAAAGCTTTGTAATTAGTAGTAATTCTTCGTTATTCTTCGTATTTGATGCTGTTTTGTTATCAAAATGATAAAAATGCCATAAATCTGAATTAAATAATTATTCCTAACTGATTATCATATTTCAAAGTGGTGATCTCTATTTATCATAAAAGATATAAGACAAAGATATTAGCGCATTTAATTAAATTGTACATTTTGTCTTGATGATATTGTATTATTAGTCTGTTATTCATTATTTCGGTATTTTAACGCAATGCAATACAATTCCTTGGAATATTTAGACAAGAAAACATTTTGTGTAGGTACAATTTTAATTGAATATAATTTTCTTACAGCTATGACAATAAATAAATAGTAAATCTGTAACCACAGAACGTGAGCATTTTTCATTATTTAATTCATTTGTAGAAGTGTTTTGATTTATTGAGAAATTGTAATCCATAGTTGTAAATGCTTTGAAAATATTTAGAACAAAGTATAATTTTTAGATAATTAACAATGAATGTTACTTACCTTATTCAGTGTTTAGTAACACACTTACACTGTAATTGAATAATTTTTATATAATTTTGTACATGTTATTGTAATTCGGTGCGTTTGGTCTTGATCAGGAGGAATAGGAACATGAAACTGCGGTTAATACATATTCTGGTTTCACTTTGTTGTTCTGTGTAGAGGTCATGTTTAACGTTCATGTGTTTACCTCGCGTTTGATGTACGAATTTATTACAGTTTTGTTCTTGGCCCGCCTATCGTTTGATTTGAAAATTTAAGAATACAATAATACTTAAATGATAAAAGTATGTTTTATTTTAAAAATATAAATTACAGAATTCTTATAGGCTGATAATGTATTGAATCTTTAAATTAATGAAAAGTTATTGTGCATATTTATATTATTAAATTATGATTAGTATTATTAAAACAGGTATAACTTACAAATCTCCGTATGAAATGTAGATGCTATTATTAACACAAAGATGTATACGTACTATGTAGTAATTTCTTTTTATTAATTAAGTACTCATAATACTTATAGTATCACGCTATTTTATACATTATACTGTTTAAATATTCGAATTAAATAAGATTCTATAAAAACAGCCACAGTTTTTCTATCTTGTACTTTAGTTTAATTCGTACTTAATTTTTGATTTCACATTTTTTTCTACAGAAATATAAAAGAAAGGGTAATGTTACCATATATATTTTACCGCAATTAAAATATTTGGTGCACACATAACTCTTGTTCTTCTTCATTTTATAAATCAAAGTTTTTGTATATATAAAATAAAATTTTCTTTTAAAACGTTTTAGTTATAATTTATAACCAATTAAGCTATAGGTATATTATTTACCGCTGATTTTTATACATATATTCTATTGTACAGCTGATTTAATTTAATACTGCAAATTAAGCTAACAATAATGAAACCTATCTGATCAAAATTTTTACATTTTCTCTTATGGTATACTTATAGCTTCATTAAAATTTCCATTAATATTTTTACAATTTCCTTTAGCATCAATTACAGAATCAATTTGATATTCAAGTTATTGTTTCAAATCAAATAAATTACGTACTAATATAAGCAGTTTTCATAAAAGACAGGAAAACAGTAACATTAAGCATTAAACCCAGGTACTGTATAGCACATATCTTGAAAGGTACTGGCTCTATTTGCCTTGCTCCTTCGAATCTATTGAAAGACCTTTTCATTATACTTTACATTATCAATTCAAAGAAAAATTACAGAAACGTATTAAATTTAAGAAATAATAAAAAAAGATATTTATTCAGTATTGCTACAATTTTTTAATCATTTTCAATGCTCTAACAAAAAAATGTTGTCCACAAAAATTAATCAATACCTACTCAATCGGTAACAAGTAACCCAGATAGCACACGATGTCTTAAAGACATCCATTTTACGACCATTTTAGGTCTGAACGTCTTATGACCTTACCTGGACATCTTTACAATATTTTGTCCCGAACGACGTTAAGACATCTGAAATTCATGTCTTTAAGGCATCTTTACAGGGTATGAAACGAACGTTGTAAAGACATCTGAAATTCATGTCTTTAAGGCATCTTTATAACGTACGAAACGAACGTATTAATTATTCGAACGCATTGTTAAATGGAACGAATGCTTAAGGATATAAAAATTTGCTAAAAAGCTTTCTCTTCAGTAAAAAAGCAGAGATTGGCTCGTGTATAGGGGAAACTAAAATGAAAGGGTACAGCAGGATAAGATGATCAGAAGTATCCTCGAGTCGATTTTATTAACCTATGTACTATTTAATAGCTTACCAAAAAGAACCATTGTATACCAAGTTTCAACCCTGTATCGCAATCAGGAGGGTAGTTATAGGGTAAAATAGAAAAAGTGGCTTTTGCCATATTTTCCCAATTTAATGCTATTCAAAATATCTAAACAAATTTTACAATATTCTAGATATATTTGCTTATGGTTGTGAATTTTTTCAGATTTTTCGGTTACAAATCCTAGACGTGAAAAATCAAAAACGCAAAAAGATTGTCGAAAAATTGAGATTTCGGGTAGAAGCGATTTCAGCACTATATTATTGATACTCTTAGAAAGTTAGATATTAGCATGGCAAGTATTCTCAATTTTTTCAGATTTTTCATTCCGGTGCGTCAAACCGAAAAAAAAGCAAAACCCGATATTTTCGACGTAAATAATTGAAAATTAAGCACCTTATCTTTTGAAGTTTTAGGTAATTTCTCAATATCACTGTCCGACTGTAGAAGCGCTAGAAACTTTTTTGTCGTAGATTCACGCCCCACGAAAGTCCAATCTTTTTTTTTTCATAAAATCATTGTTTTTTTAATTTTTAATTACATCCAAATAAACAATAATCATTTAATAACATATACAAAATATAACGTGTACATAAAAATAATTTTGAAGGACCATCGATTCTCTGGCTATATGTTCAATTAACAAAATATTAAAAGCTATCCGTAATTGGAACAATATCTAGCCAAAGAATCGGTAGTGTTTCAAAAATGTTTTTAAAATATAATGTATACGTTATTAAATGATTATTGTTTACTCTTATGTAATTATTGATTTAAAAAAAGTGATTTTATGAAAAAACAGATGAGACTTTCGTGGGGCGCGAAGCTACGACAAAACAGTATCTAGCGGTTCTGCAGCCACGGCACGTGACCTCTCCGATTCGGGACGTCGGTATTACAGCAGTTTTTTCGTTGGGCCTGGTGGAGCCACTAGCGTGTTCTGTTACGAACTTGAAAAAACTAATTCTCAGCTGGCGTGCGCGCAACTTCTTTAAATAAATGTTTTTTAATTCATAAAAGCATACAGGGTGCGTCACGCAATTGGGACGGGTTATATCTTGAATTTGGTAAGAGATAGAAAAAAGCTGTTTATGTAAAAGTTCAATGGTATGATAATGTTTATTTTTCTATGCTTTTATTTTCTTCGTGAATGCAACGATGCACTAAAAAAATGCAGATGAACTTTTTATTTAAATAGAATTGCATATTTATTTTACTCGTATCAAAAAGTACTATGGTACTATTAGAACTAATAAACGGAGAAGCCTCGGCTCCTTCTCTCCTTCTCTCTCCTCGCTACTACATATTCCCTCTCTTCTATTTCGCTAACGCGCCTATGTCTAACAGTACAATGTTTAAAAAATTAATATTTCGTGAGATATCTCATGTTTTTCATAAGTCATACCATTCAACTTTTACATCAATAGCTTTTTTCTATCTCTTACCAAAAAGATATACTTCGTCCCAATTGCGTGACGCTTGTATTTCCAAAAACCTATAGTAACTTTGTTTTTCGAAACTAATAAAAAATACAAAGGAGTGTTAGTCAATATTCTGAGTGAATACAAATAATTTAAATAAATAAATATCTCATATACAACTTATGTATGTAAACATTTGCAGAATTATTGCAAAGAGGAGGTATTTTCTTCTCTTGTTATACCTCCTCTTTGAGGGAGGTTTGTTATGGGGCGCTGTGAAAAATCCAGGCGGGCGTCAGTCAAAACTTAGCGAAAAGGGACGATCTCAACATTCAGAATGAGAGAAGGACAGCATGACTAGTGCGTCTCATTCAGCGTTCGGGCGTTGTTGCCTTTTTCGCTTGTCTTCGTTGACACAGTCGAGTAACGTAACCAAGCTAACGCCTGATTTTGGCTACGATTCCAAATCGACAGCCTTCTTACGATTAGTTAGACGCCACCTTATAACTACTTACTGTGCGTTGCAGCTAAGTTGCCGTCCAATCAAATTCGTTGACTTGCCTCCAGTCACACGTATTATGTTTATTGGCCGATGCCCTTACATCCACAAATCTATCGCGTGACGAACGTCGCCAAGGACAGACATTGAAACAGAATGAGATGAAGCGAT